TAACATCTTATAGCCACTTTCCAGTGTGAAGGGACCTTTGTTTGGTTACGTTTTTTGTTTTAAGAGAGTTATAATTTTTTTAAGTGCACTTAGGAATTTATAATCACTGATGCAAAATTATGGGGTTTCAGGTAGTGGGAAGTTTGAACTTGGCAAATTGATTTAGGGAGAACGCATATGTATAACCTTCAGACTTCATTAGCTTGTGGTGCCTTTAAAGGCTTTTCCTCATCTACTCCAGAGTTCAAATATGTGTTGCAAATTAACCACCCAGATGTTTAACACATCATCCTATGTATTTTTTGTCATTGCATAAAAATATATGAAACATATTTGGAGTTGCCACACAGGCTGATAAAATAGTTCTACACAGACATATAGACAAAGAGAAAGAAACCTTTTCCCAATGCATAAGTCTCAAAAATCAGCTAGTTGTTCTGAGACTATGGAGATGCTCAGATAACACAAGGAAATGATCCATAGACATACAGCTATCCAGATTAGCAGACTCTTTCCTCTAGAACTAGTCTTTCAGATAATCCCAGTTTGGGTCATAGAGAATGCCGTCCTCTCTGTATGCAATAGAGAAAATGGCTTTTTCAAACACAACAAAACCCACATCAGTAGATTCACTGCATGTTGAGCGCCTCTTTCTCTCATAAACCCCTTCGTGCAAAGAAATCATCATGGAAAGCCCACGCCATGTAAAGAGGCCAGAAACTCCTTGTGTAGTGTTTTAACTTGTATTTAAGTCAGGTCCTGCCCCATCCTCCGGAATGAAATTCAAATCTTTGGCACAGTAGTCATAAAATAAAGCATGGACAAATGCTAGAGACTGGATGGATAACAACAACCCTTGTCCTTTGAAATAGTTTAATTACCTTTCTCTCATACTTCTGGAACTTCTCTTGAAACATTTTTGATTCTTCTGTAGAGCTTTGCAATGTCTTAATAGTATCCGAGAGCGTGCTGTTAAAGGCTGTTTCAATCTGCAAGTACAAATGTTATATTATTTTCTTTGTAGAAACAAAACTCTAGTAAGATTACAAAGAAAATTCAGAATAATACTGTACCTGAGATCTGTACACTGCTCCTAAAACACCCGCTGTGACCTGAAGAATCAGGATCAGAAGCAGTCCAATAAAAAACTAGAGGTGGAGAAAACAGAGGTGGAGAAAACTATAACACCTTTTACCGAGATAAGATCATTTCTTCTAAGTGAATGTTAAACTCTCATGTGCTTGAATAAACATTTAGGCAGAATGAAGTGAAGTTCTAGTCAGAGCTGCTCCAGTTATTTCTTTTTGGAGGGATGAGAAAAGGGGGTGTTTAAGACAGACTGTGTTCCTGATTTTCCATGGATGGTCAATATAAGGTGCATGTCAGAGTAGTTGCATGATGGGCAGCGAGTAGATAAGAGATGTTAGGCAGGACAGAGAGGCAGTTCTGGGAGGAGTAGCAGAGGTAGTAGCTGGGAATTTAGGAGAAGAAATGGGATAGGTAGCAGGTGCCAGGAACTTTAGCAATGGCTGGATAAGGAAAAAGCTGGTGGCATGCTAGACGCTTTCTGGACCTCATTTTCTTGTTGAGGCCACCCATCCTTTCTTCTGCACTAGAACTGAGCAGGTCTCAAGCACAAGGTAAGCAATGAAAACACATTTCATAATCTGAATCATAAATAAGCATTTGATTAAACAAAAATGCCCCCATCCTCAACTAAGGCTACTTGCAAGGACCTTATCCATCAAATGTAGCTTTGGTCTGTAAAAGTTCAGCTGAAGGTTTTTGCTTCCTACCAAGAGCAGCATGCACCGGCTTTCCTTTATGGCACCGCAGCACCCCAGAAATCCTAGGACCATAATGATGGAGCCCACAGCTATCAGTAGATCAACCCCTGCAAACATGTTGCTGTCTATCTGGAGCTCCTGAAAAGAAAAGGGAAACAATCTTTCAGCTACAAGAAACTCTTCCTAAAAATATCTGTACCTCCAGAACAAAAGAATTATTTCATAACTGAGATATATACTGATTAGCAATCATGGAAATGTTCTGTGCCATACAAAAAACCCACAAAACTATGTGTTGCACCTTCGTAAATGTTTTGTTGGGGAGCTCAGTAGAACCTGGCTTTTCACAGAGTCTTTGTCTCTGCACAAGATGAAAGTCACCTTTACACAGTAAATAAAAATCTCTTGTCTTTAGAATAGCTTTCAGTTTGTTTTCAGCTGATGAATCTTTGCTCTTTATTGCAAGTAGCAAAATTGATTTTCTTGAAATCTCTCCTACATTAACCTAAAGTTCAAGAAACAAAACCTCTGTTTGTCATTATAAGGCCAGGAACACGCTCTGTTGCTGTTCCTGAGAGAATACTTCTGAGAGCTAAGCTGGATATACTAGAAAAAAGTTAGATATATTTCCAATGCAGATTTCTTTTTTTCTTTTTCTTTTTCTTTTTTCTTTACCTTTACCTTTTTTTAAAGCAGGATCTCTAATATTACCCTCAAAGAGGAGAACTGTATTTTGATGTGTGGGACATTCAACTAGGCAATTCATATTGCTCAGTATTATTAAATATCAAATTATTCAGTTCCCACAGGACTGTCTGAGGCCAAAGGCCAAAATGGAGAAAAAAATCTTCAAAGAATATTTTCCAATGTGGCTGGTGCCAAGATTAGCAAAAATGTCTGGAAGTTGTCACATTTATCTTCTGATGGAAATTGCAAAGGTATATAGACAAGCATAATTTGAAGAATGTGTTGTTCTTTCCCCTTCCAAGTTGGACTGTACTTCCTGTTATTTATTCTTAGAAAGCCCTATTCATCTACAGCCAAATACTTATGGTCTGTTCAATTATTACTCAGGCAAAACATACATTGATTTGGAATGGGAGCTTTGCCTGCATAGAGGCAAAACCAAGAGAAAATCCTTTCAATTTTGGCCCCTATTCTTAATTTCACAGCTTTTAGGGAGTACTCGGTGTCACTTCAGGAAAGCAATTTGGAACACTCTTAAGTACGCTTTTCTGAATACGAAATCTCCCCCCAGAAATAAGAAAGAAAAATAGTGGTTCTGTTTTTTCAAGCTGCACTGTACCACCTGAGCCATCATCCTGGACATGACCCCTGGAGATGGTCAACTGGCACGTCTGGCAACTTCAGCTTCACTGAAATGGAGATGGGGAGTGAGACTTGTCCTTCTTCCTCTTCTGCAGTACACAATGACAGTGCTTTCCAACATGACCTAATTTACCCCAAGTCACAATGTCATCATGAAGTCAGTGAAAATGAAATCTGAAAAAAATGCTTCCATGACAAACCTGGTCATTCTTGCACGCCTATGGGCATAAAGCCTTTTTAGAAATGAAAGTATGCAAATCAAATTTTCAGATTCATTTATCTTATATGCCCATATTCACAAAAATAAATATATTGCTTAAATCTTAGAGTTTGGTTGTTCTTCCATAACAAAGGAACAAGATTCAGAAATTGCACAGCAGTCTTTTAGAGAAGCATCTACTTGCTCTGGAACTGGCTTCACTATAGGGAGACAGAAAATATCCTGTGAGCAAGACACCAGTGCTACTGGGAGCACAGCTGGCAAGAGGTGGCCAGGCTAACTTCAGGCACAAGGAGCCTTGCTACAAACAGGCCCAGCTGCTCAAGAACACCTCAGGACTACATTTTTCCTAGCTTTGAAGAAAGGGAGAGTCATGTCTTCAAGTTTGAAGTAATTTAATGACCCAGATAAAATCCAAGAGGAGAACTCAGGGACTTTTCTTCACCCTTCTAGGAGGGTTAGGAAAATTTCATCTTAAGTAAAGTTTTTTTGGATGCCTAAAACTCTTTCTTTATCTATAAACACAGGTGAAAAGGACAAGGTGTTTTTAAGAAGCTGTTAAAAATACAAGGGACAAATCCTTACTCCTTTTCAAAATTACCAGGGGAAACATATTGTGTTATTGAAGACAGTTAGAAAGATAAAACATTCCCTAAAAATATATAGAAGCATCCTTAAGAATATATGTGGCCGTTCTATTGGGGAAAGACATTGAAAAGTCTAGGAGGTGAATGGCTCCTTCTTATTCTCTCTAACACTGAAATCAATAATAAAACCACCATTAGTTTCATTGTAGCAGAAAGAGCCCCATATTTTCTAACAGAAATCAGTGTGCACCTGCAGGAATTTCCATTAGTAACACTAGGTGACACTTCTTGTGGTCACATGTCTGTACTTACATTAATCTGATTACCTGTACTATTTTTTTTAATCTTAATCATAAAATGCATTACTCTTTACTCACACAAACCACCTCAACAAAAAGATAACAAATCTGTGTAAATGATCATGGGAAATGAAAATGTATACAGTAGCTTCCACGTTTTACATGGGTCTGGTAAGACTGAATACACTTACCTCCTGAGCATTTTTGTTAGTACGTATCCATATAGAGACTCCCAAAATAATGCAACCACACACCTGCAGGACAAAATAAAGAATATTTAGAAAGATGAGCAATTTGAGATTAAAATTCAGCCCTCAAGTTGCACCAGATGCTGGCAAAAAAAGTTGAAATCATTTATTTGGCAAAGTGAAAAAAACATCCAATGCTAGAGCATAGAACGTTGATTCATAGTCAGGAAACTTCACGAGAAGAGTTAAATCTTCAGTTATGCACCAAAACCCTGCTGTTTCCATCCCAGAGGAATCCACATTTCAATGATGATCTATGCATGTGGTTGGAAAATACAGAGACATTCTGTCAGATGAGAGAGGGATATAAATTGCTATAATATGGATATAACATAGTTGTAAAGAACGTTGTTTCTTGCATAATGGAAATGCGTGAGATTTGATAAGGGATATTAGTATAAATGCTATTTCTAGAATTATTCAGGACATATTTCCAGAAAGCTACTTCCCATGGTAAAACAAGCAGGAAAAATTCAAAATGAAGTCTTTCTGCTGTGTCATATCGACCATTTCCACTCCTTAGAATATAGGAGCTATAAGGAGCTACAATTTCTCCGTTAAACTGCTCATTGTGATAATTATTATTCCCATGATATTTTTACAGAAAATAATCTTACTCAGTCCTGTACATGTAAAAGTTAGACATCTAAGTCTAACTCCTTAGACCTGTCACAGGCATGTGTCCTCAGATGAGCTAAATCACCCACTGGTGGTATCCGCCTCTCTACCCTGGCTTTAAAAGAAGCATGGAATGACTTGCTTTAAGATGTTAAAGTCAGGACAGATGAATCCTGGGTCCAGATACGTTCCCTTATCACTAGTTGTGCTCCTATTTTGTTGATCTTTGATGTACCATTCCACTACGTGCCAGTCACTTTATTCCTAACCTTGTCTGTGATGATTCTCATAGTGTTTCTCTTTATTACTAAGTGTGGGAGACAGGTAATTAAGAGGCTAAACATGAGTAAAGGCTGTGAGAGGACTGGCAGGAAAGAGGAATCACTGAGGACCAGAGTCTCATCATATTCATTATTATCTTCCTGTATGTCATTAATGCTCAAGTCATAAATGACCCTGAAATGTGATGATATGCACTTCCTGTGATGACTGGGACTATTCCTAACCCTTCAAAATTAAATGAGCTATTTGTATATGTTTTAGATGATTTTTCTTAAAAAATACTTCCCCCTCAAAAGGTTTCATATGATATTCAGCATCAAAGACCGTAATGACTTTAGCAGATTATTTAATATGGAACATGGCCAACACTCAAACATGAGTACCACACATTTTCCTGCTCTAAGTAAAGCTCCTATAAGTACATTATAAACATGAAAAAGAAAGTTGTACAACTGATGACAGCTATATCATGTTATCAAATTTTACTAGAACTCCCCACTGAAATCTTCTCAATCCCACTGAATCTGCCCAGAAACTGATGGTATCATATGACTTTATATTTGGGTCTTGCTCAGCAGCACTATATGTTCAGCAACACTAGTGGAGTTATACACCAGACAATACGGGCTCACTAATGTGAAAATTTCCACTGAAACAGCTAGTGCATTCGTATTGCATATCTGCAAATATTGCATATTTGTAGCAACTGCTACAAACCCAAACAGAATTTGGGCCACTGACTTAGTCGTTATAGGAACGTTATAGGTATAGGAACTCCCATAAAAATACAGCACAGCAGTAGAAATAAATAAAGCTGAATGTAAAGGAACTTGCCAGTTAGATGAGAATTCTACAGTATGCATTTCCTCCATTCAAAAAGGAGTATCATCAATAAAATTTCTATAAGGTGTATATATTTTAAATATAAAAATAGAGTTGCTTCATTTCAGTAAAATCTTGATATTTTGTTCCTGTGGTTTTCTCTGAATATTATACAATATAAAGTGTATAATAATGCACAAAAAAAAATTCAATAATGAATCAAAATATTCCGTTCCCAAAGGGACAACATAGAACTCTTCAATTTTTATGGAATACTCCATCCTAATAATCTTTCCTAAAATAAAATTTAAGTTAAAGAAACACACTTCAGGGAACTGTTACACTTTTAATGAACCAGTATTTTCCAATAGCAGGGGGAAGAGCTTCTTTGAACAGATCCTCACCTGTCTTCCCAAAACTGGATGGCTAACATAGTTTTGCCTCAAGCCTTGACCGGGAATCAGTTACCTCATCACAGTCTCATAAACTGTCCAGGAACAGGTCTATTGTACCCCACAAGTCCTTCAGTCTTGGTGCAATAAAGAAATACAGACTAGTTCAGTTAATACTAGCTCATACAAGCCTGCTAGGACAGTGGACCAGTGCACCAAGACTCTGCCCTTCCTGGGAATACCAGGCCCGTGCAGAATCCCCTCCACTGCTACAGACTTTTGAAGCAGACAATTTAAGGGTGTAAGAGGGGGCTTTATGCAAGCCTGGTCCCTTTTGGGAAAAGTGTTTAACTGAAATACCTTTTTGAGATACCTGAAATTAACAGCACTAGAAACATCTTACGGAGAATGTGCACTGTGATGGCTCTGTGAACTTGCTAGGTTTGCTTTGCTACTTACAGATACAAAGGGGTTCAGTTTCTTTTCTGACGTAGGGTATAGGGAAGTGGCCACTTTGGTTGTAGGTAGGACTGCCTGTCTGAACTGATATCAACAACTGATCAAAGATTACCCTACTACTACTAAGACCGCACCAAACTAATGATCAATATTTAGTGCAAAAAATAATGATGCGGAGTAGTAGAGGCTGACAGGGTGAGAGCAGCAGGTGAGACTCGAGAGCCTGCAAGCTCTGCAGAAGGGAGAGAGGAGAAATCTGACCTAAGTGTCAGGTTTAATATACCAGACTGACTTAAGGGTTAACTTAAGGACATTTAGAGCTCTGTGTAAGTACCCAGCTCCAAAACATATATCTTCAAAACTCACGCTCAGCTTTTACCACATCAGGAAGATACAAAACTATGGAAACCCAACATGGGGCTGTGGGTTCCTTGGGGGCATAAGTCACATAACAGCTGAGGCTGAGGATGGTGAAGCCAAAGCCTCTTTGTGGATTTAGCTTAGTCTAGTCCAGGGCTTAGACACTTCGGGATATACTGTAAGAGTCATTGAGAAAAAAGCACAGGAAAGCCAGGAAGCACACTCCTAATCCCCCTAAAAGAGGACACTCCCAGAGAGATTTCAAAAGGCTAAAAACAAAAGGCTAAAAAAATATGTAAATATGCAGCAGCTGCTATTCTCTAGTTAGGGTTAAAGTCACCTTCATTTTCCAGTATCAGTTTAATTTTCCACCTGTCAACTGCCTCGTACACGAGGGAGAGCAACCGTGGGAGCAGTGCTTATAAAGACATCACTGATCCCTGTGCTTTAATTTAATGTTTTCCAGAGATTAGGGACAGGAACATGAATTAAAGAATTTGTTTAATCGCATTCTGTTTGCATATATGCCTGCTTGCACCATGGTCTGTTCTTCCCTACCTTGGCAGTGCTAAACCCCTTCCTTTAAAAAACATTAAAACAGCCGCATTTCTTAGGCCCACCCAGGCTTGTTGCATGCACATCAAACACTCTCACCATATTCCTCCGCAGAACAGCAGATATTTTGCTACCTTTGGCATAAAAGCAGGCTTCGGAGGTTTGTTCCAGGCCCGATTGTTTCCGGAGCTTTCATGGCTCTCCCAGGGTCACGTCCTGTGTCTTTTCCTAGGAAACCTGCGCTGTCACTAGAGGTTTAGTCTTGGGGCATTATTCACATGTTCACTCCAGAAGCAGTTTGGGGCGTTGCTAATGCCAGACTGAGGGGTTTGCGTATGCTTTACCTTACAGTAAATACAGATGCATATGAATAGAAAAAATGTCTAGAGGAGCAGGAATTCTAAGTCATATACTTATGGGCCCTTTTAAGTACTGTTGCAGAAAAAGCTTCAGCATAGATATCAAATATCTTCAGTCTGCCTTGGTGGAGGTGGAGGAAGAAGAGGGGGGAGGCAGTTCAAATTTATAAATCATCACAGGCCGGTTAGGAATGTGCCTGTGAGGTCTACAAGTGATCAAAGAGTTTTGCTAATTCTTCTGCTCGTTTTGGCTAGCCACAAATTTTCTAGGGCTACTGTTTGCGGTCCCTTTTGAAAGGTATCACCTTTTCACTAGGAAAAATCCCTTGAGGCAGATCCCATATTGTGGCTAGTAGTTTCGCTTCTGGTTTCAGTGAACCTCTGGTGAACCTAACAAATCTCTGGCGGGAAAGCTGACAGCGAGGCTGAACCATGAGAAAAATGCTTTTTAACTCAAACCTTTCCAAAACTTCCAAGGCCTAAAATTCTTGCAAACCAGCTGAGATGTGACAAATAGACAAATGCGGTTCAAACTGCATTCAAAAAGCTGCCTGCTGTGCTGTTTTGAATGCAGGCCAGGGCGATTTAGTACAGCCATTGGTAGTACTGCCAGCCCATACCATTTTAACATTTACTGTCCCTTGTCAAAAACTAAGTATGAAACTGAACACGCAACAGAGAACCACAAAGAAGGACACAAAAAAAACATTTATCAAGTAAGAGACTACAATGCAAGGGGGTTTTCTGCTGCTGCTACTACACTTTCAGGATTTTGCGGTTTAGATGCAAACAGTAGACAATAAAAGCAAGAGAACAATTCATTTACGTGGAGTGTCTTCCTGACTTGTAACTGAAATGAATGATGTCCCTCGACATGAGGGGTGCGTCACTGGCAGAGAGACAGACTCCGGGCTATTCTACTTTTGAATTGGAGGGAAGTCTATTTTGAAAGAACAAGGGCAAGGGAAGGGCAAAAGTTAAACATATTCTCTCCCTGATTTAGAATCTGGTTCCACTTACCCTCTATTTTCTTTACAATTTCTCAGCTACAGCCTTCAGATAACCTTGAACACATTTCATGCATCACTAATAACAATTCAAACATCAACTTACCCAAAAGAAGAAGTTGAAGATGAACATGGAATACTTCATGCAGCGGCTTACACCTGCCATTTTCAAAAACCTGAGATAAAAATGAGAATTGCAGAAGAAGCTTTTGTAAGAGTTTGTCCTCAATAAAAAGGTTCTCCCGCTTCTTCAGAAAACCTCTCAGACCAAGCCAAATGCACTGTGCTCTGCTGCTAAAAGCAAAAATGGAGACCAAGGCAGATATAATTATTTAAACAATTCATACACCACAGGTAAATATTAACTGGAGCACTGGGGAAGAACTACCAGGTGTTATCGCTGAGTCTCCAGACTCTCGTTGTATCTTTGTGAGTTGTACTTTTTTATGGTTCTGTTAGTCTTGTCCTACACCCCAAAGGTAAACAGATACTGCAGCAATAGTCACAGTTTCAACACAAAGGGAAGTGGAAATAGAAACATTTTACAGAGCTGCTTTTAAGAGATGGAAATGATTGCATTTCTTACTGCTTTGAAGTTACAGTGCTTGCTCTCTTTCATTTTTCACTGATCATTGCCAAAATTTATTCACTCCTGTTTGCAATCATACTCCAGATATTTAGCCAGAATAAAGTGATGGGTTTGTGTTATCCCTGCAGAAGACGGGGCAAGGAAACTGCAGCCATTACCTCTGTCCTGATGTCTACTTCAGATCTTTTTTCTCCTCCTCACCAAATTGGGACCCTGAGCATTGTGGTGTATGAAACATCCTGCTGTGCAGGTTTCCAGAAGTATTGTGAATGCTAGCACAGCGATCACGACTCTGGCTTCAGACGCAGGATACCTCTTGGCAAAAGAATTCAGATTTATCCCAGAAGACAAAGCAACAAACTTGTTTCATTAGTTTTGTTTTATGTCTTATTTGTTTTCTTTTGTGTTCCTCAAACTAGAAATCAGCAGGGGAACATAAAAGTATCATTGCTCTATCTTTTCTATCTGATCATTTTCTAGAGAAGTCCAGTATACCAGTCCTTGGAGGGATAAAGGTCAGACCCAGGTTCCCCTGCATTCCTCATAAAAAATAGGCTTTATTTTTGTAGGTGAGCACAAAGGCTTTAAATGAGAAAGATTAGGGACATGCTGAACGGAACTAATTTATGAAGCCCCCTTGGCACAAGCCCAATTTTTAGTCTTCACTGTCAGTTTGCATTTTCCAATTCTGCTGTCTGTATTTGAAAAAAGTGGAAAGTGTTAGTATATAACACACCTGTAGATGGTGACAAAAAGATGTAACTTAGAGCCTCACTTTTGTAAGATCCACAAAAATCTACTCTACACTGAAAACAACTTCCTCTGGCTGCTCGCTAAAGCGGCTTTTAATGAAGGTGTGATGTGTTGGAATCTCTTCAGTCACTTTCACTAATTTTATTTAAACAGATACGACTGTTCCCATTTTAATGAGTGGCTGCATACCTGCCTTCAACCTTCCAGGCTCTTTTCTGGAGTAATTCTCCTTTTTTCTAACTCTAGGAGATTGGCTGTCTGACTAGTTTATTTCACAATATCCACCCTGAATCTGAGAATGTTCCTAAAAAAAATTGCACTCATGAAATACAGATTTTGTATGGATTGGGAGAAACAACTGTGTGGTATGGTTTAGATCTGAAGCACTCAACAAGCAAGTAAGTTGAGAAATGTGGGTGTCTTTATGGAGAGATGCCATAGCCACAGATGAATCATGAGAATAGTTTGAAGTGCCATATAAAATTGTATGACAAGAGCCATGAAGGGAAATAAAAGAATCACAGACGACATAGGATTTGAAGAGATAAGTCTGAAATCAGACCAACAGTTTTAGTAAACGAAGTTTACCGTCAGAGGAATTCAGAAACAGCGTTTTGTCGTACCAAAAGCTGCAATTATAGTAGATACTTATGAGTTATAAGCATCGTTTTCTGTGAAATGCTTAGCCCAGGTGCTCAATGAGAGCTCTCCGAGGTAAGTTGTGAGGGTAGAAGGAGCATGCACACACTGGCCCTTCGCAAGAGGGTGTGCAAAGACTTGGAAATAATTTGCCTCTGGAAATAATTTGTCAGAACTTCTGAAATATATATATATTTTAAATACGCCTATTGAACATGAAACACAAGCAAGTTCCAGTAAGAATCTAGTTCTTCCTAAACCTTGAAGGATGGAGCTGTCATTGCCTAAACAAAATGACCAGCTTTGCTTTTATGTACATTTTATGTTTACTGATCTCTCTGGCAAAAAAACAACTTTCCTCGGATCTGACAGATGCTCCTTTTCTAAGATGGCAAATAGGAAACAAAATCAATGTTAAATGTATTTCCTAGTGTGTTTCCAGTGTGCTAAGTATGCCTGCTGAAAATAAACATAGTATCTGAATTTGCCACAATTCCTAGATGTTTCCTACCTATGTTTAATGGTACCTGAAGTAAAAACCCGCCACCCAAATTAAGAGCATAAAGCAGCTTCCGTTAAGTGAGAGGTTCTCAAATCGTCTCTAGGCATAGATCGTTTCTTGTTCCCTGACTATACAGTGCTTTTTTTTTTTAATAGGCCTTGAAGAAGAAAGGGGAAGCTGTAATTACAATTTATATGTTTATATGTATTTATATGTTATAATACATTATAAATTTCACATTACATTATAAATGCAATGGCACAGTTATAAATGTTTGCAGTTGTACCTGCAAACTGAGGTGCCTATTTTGCAAGGACGTGTAGGTAAGAGGAGATGTGAATGAATGAGAGAAATGGCACAAGAAATTTTGCCTGTAGATCTTAGCCGCTATTTGACTTGCATGTGCCACGTTGCTCCCGCTGCCCTCTTCCGAACCATTCAGACGATGAGATACGTCCTCCCAAAAACAAAGCCTTTGCCACAGACTGCCGGAGAAAGCTTTGCCCCGTGAAGAAGCAGCGATACCCTGCTCACGTTCTGCCCCTCCTTACAAATTAGGCTGGCGGGATTATCGGCGAGCAGGCTGGGTGCAGCGTGGGGTGGGAGCCCTCTGAGGCAGCGCTCAGAGCTCCTGGCGGCGGGGCGGCTCCTGTGACGCTTGCCATGACTTTGCCTGCTGTGTCATGCAAGAAACCACAGTTGAATGGGGATATCTTGGCGGAAGAAAATGCCAGTACACCTGTCATGGCCCTGAAAGAAAGCACCGCCGCTTTGACACTTGCAAAGCAGCTGCGCTTGGTTTTATAATGTTTTCAGCCTCCTTCCTCTCTGCTTTCCTCACTCTGCCGGGCTTCCGGGGCACAGCACCCAGGGGTGTGGGACGCCAGCTTCCCCAGCCCTTACCCACCTCCCAGGCTCCCTGCTATGCACATCTTTTCCAGCAGCACCATCCTTATATCTCTCTGGGTATACACTGAACAGCTCCTTTTCTTCTCAGAAATAGCGACATAAAGAGTACACAGATTTTGCAGGGATCCTTAAAAAAATCACTCTTCAGCTTACCTAGCATAAGAAATATATGTGTGCTCTTTGTTTTCCCATGCTCCCACAGACATTTAACATGCGTAATATACACCTGGACCCTTTTTCTTGCCTCAGTGTCCTCAGCAGCCGGCATCTTTTTTGGATTAAGTCAGAGACTTGTAAGATCTTTCTTCTTTTGGCATATGCAGTCCTCCCTCACTCCGGCAGTGCATATACGTGAGGCTCCCATCTTCTTGTATGTCTTTCTTCCTTCTCTCTAACACTGAAAACGTTTTTTTTTTTAAATGATCTCCATTTCCCTTTGTGAGGTCCCCTCCCACGATCAGGCTAAGCAACCAAAGCCCTGTATCAGATGATTCACTGTATGGTTAGTCACTTCTCCCTTCAGGCTTGAACTTGAAAAACTGGTTTGTACTCAATAGCAGCCTGCTTTTTGAACAGTGGCATATGGATTATGGAGAGTGGTTTATAAAGGTGTTTTTTGTTTTTTGTTTTTTTACCATTGGACTTTCTGTTCAGTGCCATGACGAAAACACAACAGAGAGGCAGGTAAGAATTATACTTGGCGTCAAGTTTGCAGCCTGAAAGAGATCAGCACTGCTCTAAAGGACGAACAGTTTTCTTTCCACTTTAGGGCTTCTTTACCCTGGGAGGGTGATGTAAAAAGTACAAAAGAGGAAATGAGAATCTGCCCTTAGCGTTTAACGCTATGGGCATGTCTGCTCAGTTTTTCCCATGAGAGAGCTCTGCCCTGACCTACCCAAAGCCAGGTAGCTGCCTTACCATGGCATGGAGCCCAAAGCAGCATGCCCAGTTTCTCAGAGTCACTCATGTGTTGCAGCTCAGCAGTGCACTAACCCCAGCTACCCCAATTGCAGTTCAGAGCTAGCTGGAGCCCACCTAAAAAGCAGTCCTGTGTGGTCCTTCAGTGCCAATTACTGCTGTCGCCTTCTCTGCTTTCCTTTCCTCCCCTCTTCCACACCCTGAACTGCTGTGAGGATGCAATTTAGAATTTCTGATGCTGTTCATAAAAACAAATGAAAGCCAACCCCAGAATATTATCGACTAGTGCATCACCTGGCATGTGGCAGAACAAAATCCTGGCTCTGAGCGGGGTCTGGAGCCGCTCAGTTTCCTATGGCCTATATGAGTGAACTGGACTCTGTTAGTGTTATACTGGGAACTGATTTCTTGTCTGTTAGAGCTTTTCTTTTCACTTTGCAATAATCAGCACTTGTAGCCATTAAGAAAGTAACCCCCTCCTTCAGGACCACTACATTTCTCTGCGTTCCAGCCAATAAAAATATAACTCTTACATAAAAGATACAGCCCAATAGGTTAGTTAGTGAGCAGTACAGCTCAGAAGAGGCAACGGCCTGACCACCAGAAAAACTCTCCATGTCCAAAACATGTCTTTATATTCAGGAGCAAGGAAAATCCTGAGCTGTTCCATGCCGGTCAGGTGCATCCCAACGCTGCTCTAGGAAACGTATAGCTGTGTTGACCTGGTGCTCTCTCTCCTTCCTTCTCTGGGACTGGTAAAAGGCAGGGCACACATATGCCATTACTCTTCATCTCAGAACAGGCGCTTTAGACCAGGCTCTTGCTGCCCAGGTGAGCGTTCACCATTGAGATGTTTGTCAGTGGTGCATCATCCCCTCCCTCTGACTAGGCTTTTCATTTTAGCGCTGGAAACCTTTTCCCTGGGGAGGAAGGAGGTAGTTTAAATGGGGATATAGCTCTACAAAAGGTTTCTGTTCTGACAAAACAGTTTCATCGGAAAATTCCCAGCCAGCTCTGTACGAGACTCCTATCCAGGCGCTCCATGGCCTGATGCCAACATCACTCATATG